CAGTTTAGGAATCTTACTTATTACTCGTATATACTCAGAAATGAAGCCTGTTATCATTGGTCTGAAGCTTACATATTCCTACCTGAGCAGGCAAACAAGTTCCAAACTTAAGTTTAATAAACAACTGTCAACATGAAGCAACATAAAAAATTAGAATTTTATTACTAATTTGTTACAAATCTGAACAACAAGAGTCCAGGAATAATCCTCTGGTAAAAATATCTGTACTAAAATTTTGGTGAAAGCATTGTTATGCAAGAGAATAACTAGAGAATAGTTTTCTCATTTGTCTTTATTGAAGCGTGGCTTGACTCAAGTCTTGAGATATTACAGAACAATTGAAGACAGATATCTAATAGAAATTATTCTGACAATTCCACTAGTAATTTTCTCCTAATCATGATTGACATGTATAGCGTCAAGATGGAATCGGTTTTATATCATTCCTGGCAATCATTATTATAGGAGAAATGTCCAGTCAACTTGACCGCTGTCCTACTTCATCTGAAACACACAGCTGTATCCTGCCTTCCAGATTTACAAATCTTATTTCATTTGAGCTACTACAAGATTTACTTTGGTGTGTGTTGCAGGTCATGCAGCCAAGCCATGAAAGTTGGTGTTTTCTAAAATTGCTTGGTTGATTGGAAAGAACACATAGCTATAACAATAACTGTGTGGTGTTCTTTACCACACCACTCCAACTGCAACAAATTGTTCATTTGATATGTTTCTGATGCAACAAACAAGAGTGAATCTACTTGAATTTAGCTGATTGTAATTTGCAAGAACTAAGTCTACATCAGATAAACAAACCCACATGACAGCAAAAATAGAACCTGGTAGATATTTCTGGTTTCTGTTTCATTTTTGTTACATTTTATAAGAGCTATGAATTATAAAATTATCAGAAGTTTTTTTTAAACTCATCAATTCAAATGATTTTAAAAAGTCCAAAAACATAAAAGGTCATCAATCTGTCATCCAAGCCACAAACTCTCGGTCCATCTCTCAATAATTCGAACAGTGTGTATGACCACTGAAACTTGACCCCAGGAACCAAACAGCTGAGGGGTCAAACAAATATTGGCCTAACAGCTGAGGAACTGGATTAACATTTGCTGGTCATTTATAAATACAAGCTGACATGCTAATACATGGCAGAATCTCTCTTTAAATTCTTCACTATCAATTATAATTGGAGAATCAAATGACCATTTAAATTCTAATGATTCTAATCATTTTCAAAAACATGACAGGAGATCATTTAAATTAAAGATGGATTCTCAAATTTCCCAAGATTTCAAATTTGGGTTTGATAAATGCAATGTGGCATAGCTGAATATGAAGTTATATTCCAATATTCTCATAATTTGTTGAGGGGGTGACCAGGGTAAAACAACCACCTCAAAGGGTTTAGTAAAACGATAGATATTTTTCAACAAAAAACCAAAAGGTTCTTTATTTTAAAATGAATAACTTGTCTTATAACAGGAAGTATCTAATACTGTAATATCCAGAAATCCAAAATAAATTGAAACAATATATCATCTAAATATCCAAAACTTCCAACATAGAAATCTGTCCTTACATTATTATAACAAGAATCTGATTAACAGAGTTCACAGTAAAATTAAAAAGGCAGAGGTGATGAGAGCTCAGATGAAAATATAATAAAGAAACAGGCAGTGAGGTGTGACTTTAACTGGGGGTTTGAACTAAGTAACATTATGGTTTTCTGCATTAATTGGTAATTAAGTTAAACAATGGTGAACAAAATTTAAGTTATAAGTTAACAAAGTTGAATTGGTTTCTAAATAAATCAAGTCATTACAATCAAATATTTGCTATAGTGACTTCATACACTACAAATTTTAATATTTTTAAAACATAGAAGATGCCAATGTCCTTGGTGCTCATATAAAGACTAGAAAACCTATATCAATAATGTTTAGAAATTAATTAAATAAATAAGAGAGAAACATTTATGTGACAATATTTTTTTTAATGGGCAGATATATTTCAAGAATAGATGTTAAAATCCCTAATTGTATTTCAATCCTTCAAATCACAGGTTTATAATAAGGAACTGAAATGTTTGTATTTGATCTTTCTGGTGTTTGTATTGAAGGATTAGACATTGTCCTAACATTGTGTAAGGAATTTGTAGAAGTGTTGAAAGAACAGTAAATATAAGTCGTCTAATCCTGACTCATGCCATGATAAATGTAGCAATAATTATTGATATGGGAATCCTGATAAATCGACCAGATGTGGTTCCTAATCCTCTTGTCAAGACCCTAAACCTTTCATCCTTGGCTACTTCATGTCCACTTTGTGGTCAGTATTAATCTGATTGGTAGAAACAAGGGACATCAATATCCTGTCAGGTTTGACCACTTATCAAGCTGAATATTGATGTGAGCTTCTAATCAATCATGATACAGGAATCAATCTAGATGGACTGGTTGTCTGAGTAACATGTAGTCAGGATTGACCAGAAAATTAATTTCATAAAATTTTTCTTAACAAAACTTGTCTAAACTGTCTCCCATATTTAGAGTAATATTATGTGATAATATTTGATGTATCCACTAGGATAACAAATAGGATCATGTCCAACCTCTTGGCAACAGTTTACCATTTTGTGCCAAGTTCTTGCTGAATCGAAAACCTTTATTCTGACATTACGAATACAAGCACTGGAACTTGCGCTTACTGAGAATCTGATCATATTCAATTTTTTCTCATATTTAATACAAATATTGTTTCCAATACAATTTATCATTTATCACTTAACATATCATGAACTCTATTTTCTCAAAAATGAAAAAAAAAGATTCATGTCTTCCACTTACACAGAAATAATCTTCTAAGATATTATTTTAAGTAGAACTATTATTCATTTACACCATATAATGGCCAAATTCACAAATTATCATCTTTATGATGTGGAGGACAAAAAGAGAGAAAGAAGCAATAAATGTATAGATTACAATAAATAGTACCATTAAGACATTAGTATATTTCAACTATGTGCTACTAAGATAGTGATGGTATGTCTGGAAGTGATTTGGTGCCAGTACTAATTTAGAATGTCTTAGATCTGACCACTGATGTGTCCAGTAATTTGTCAAATTTTATTATTCATGTCATTATTTAGGAGTTAAATAGCTGTTTAAAGTAACCCTCTACAGATTACTTATCTTGTATGATAAATCTCTTTTTTATGGCATCTAGATTCCATCACTTTCTGAAGGACAATATTTACTGTATAAAGCTTTCAAGAGACACCAAAAGTACTTAAATATCCTCAGATAAAATTTTGGACATTTTCAGGCAAGTGAAGTACAACAATGGACAAATAATCAACAATCATCATGTCAAACAAAGAGAGATCTCCAATTTCTTCAATTCCAAGAAAAGATGCAATAATATGTTTTACAGTTATGAAACACTTCATCCAGAAGTAGGCAAACTTACAAGAAAGATACTAAATCATCTATATGTATGTTATGGAGTAGAAGCTAAATATCAAATATTCTTTGCACAAATTTTGATTTTTTAAAGTAATGAGGTCCATATTAGATTTCCAGGTTTTTTGCCTGAAATAAAGGTACATGGAAGTTGTCAAAAAAAAATTGACAATAACATTGATTTTATGCAGCTATTTCTTACATGTATTGATGTTTTACAAACCAACAAAACCACCAAAAAACCTCTTTCTTACATCCATTGATTCTTTACAAACTAACAAATCAACACCAACAGGTCTATTTCTTGCATCAATCAATTCTTGACAAACTAACAAACCCACACCAAGCGTTATTAGTTTAAAACAGAAAATAAACGTGTCACAAACAATTTATCAACAACAGAAAAATCTTAATGTGCACTTAACCTTCAAATATAAACACATTAAAACATTAAAAATAATAAAACAAGGGTAGGATTTGTACCAAAACAAAATAATCATTACTTTTAATCTAAATTACCTATATCTTACTTTATGGTATTATTTGGAATTCTTTTAATCTGTATCTGACTAGTCAGTGCAGGGAACAGAAATGTGCTGCCAAAACATTTGTTTTGTTAGAATATTTTGTATTTGCTACCTCGATTTTCTCTCCAAAAAATCCTACAGTGAGCTGAAATTGAGCTCTTTCAGCTGGCAAAACAAAATCTATGTGACTCTTGAAATCAAATTGGGTGATTAAACGTCATGATAAGCTGCATTTGAGTAGCCCCATTTACATAACTTGATATATCATAATTGTTATCGATTTAATATTTCTAAAATTTATGCTCTGAAACTTGTATATGAAATGGCCAGAAATGTACAGTAAGCATACACAAGTATACAAAGATGCACCAAAGATACATCAGATAAACTGACAGTCTTCTATAATTCAAACACATTCAGATCTGTGAGAACAGTAATAAATATTTACCAGTAAAATGTCACAATACCATTAACAGCTGACCATAGACAAGTTTATAAATAAATAAATTAAAGTATATGAACCAAAATAAACCATTAATATTCCAATGCCATATATTGACCAGTTGTTAAACTGGCAGATTTATTCCGTGTTTCTTTAACAAATTGACAGGTGATGATAGATTGTTTTTTAATAATTCATTCCACTTTTGAATAAGATTAATGAATTTAGGACCATAAATAACTTTACTATATTTATTTTTCTTCAGAATGGTATATTGCATATCACAAACTGATTCTTATCTAATTATAGGCCTAAGAACCTAAGTTTTGAGAGGGGTTCCAAAAACACATTTCTATCTTTATTAGAGGAGAGCTTCAGTTTAGTACATAACATATTTCTAGGTTATATGTTATCTGATAAAAGGAGTAGAATTTTGAGAGGGGTGGGGTAAGGGGAGCATCTGCCCAAGTCACATAATCTCCTAAACACTACTCACAGATGTGGTGGCAAACAACACATCGGTACCTCGAGTGGCATGTAAAAAAGTAAACATACTTACTTGTCATTTCCCTTCTCTACAGCTTGGTGAGTCCAATAAGTAAAGACTCCCATACTTCCTGATAACAGATCTCCCTGACCTCCACATCTTCTTGGACTACCTTCACCATAACATATCAATACTGAAATATAACAAAAAATCTTAAAGACATTCCAGTCACAGTAACGTAGGCTCAAAAAATTAAAGAAATGTAAGCAATAATACGATTTTCTTTGTCACAATTGTTGATAAAACTTTTTCAAATGGATCTAGAAAATCCAAACATTGAAATCTTTAGAAATATAACCCAAAATTTAGCAATAGTCTATTTTTTTTTTTTTAATTCAAGAAAACCTGGATTTTTTTCCTGATAAGTAATACACATTGCTAAAATATACCTTGATTAAGCAACATTTAAATGACTATATCCCTTCAAAATAACAAGTAAGCAAATCTATATGTACCTGTTGCCTTCAATAAAGAATCGAAGCTCCAAGTTTTAATTCCTACTTAATTGTAAGGTATTGAACTATTATAATGGAATGGGTTAGTGTAATAATCATTTCAATTTAAACTCATCTAAAACATAAAAGAAGAGATTTATGTGTGATAATGTGTTAGCTTTACTATTCAAATTTGTAGAGCATAAAAACTTAATGTGTTGTTCGGAAACAATGTTTTTTTTTTTAATTGTCACTATATCAAGGTTGCACCATTACTAAACATGCATTCTACTTTCAATTTCCCTAAGCATTTATTGTTCACATCATTTTTTTCTCAAATATTTTTGTGATCATCATTAACAGTCTTTCATTCAGCTCACTCCAATCAACATGATTAAATCAAATTAATTATAATTGTTATGAGGTTACAACACGAAATAGCAGTCAATATCTTTTGTATAGAAACATTCATGTTGTTAAAAAGTTGATAAATTAATTGATGGTTAAGGCCAATAGAAATATTATTATTGTGTAGTGTTAATATATAATATAAGGTGTATATTATGGTATAATTCACTTCTTTACTGATTAAGCACCTTACATTACAATACATGTTGATGTCTGATGATGATCATTCTTACCTTGTGTTCTTAATATGTACCTCTCATACTTAATGTCATTTAAATCTATTTGATTTTATGGTATTTTTCATCTTCTGTTTAAAATATTTTGGTAATTCTAACATGTGAAGCAATGGGCAAAAAATATTCTGCATTATTCTGGTTTGAACTTTGAAGTGACTTTTGATAGGGCATCCACTATAAGTCAGTATAGTAGTAAGATTGATTAAGTGATAGTTGATGAAATAAATGGAGTTTTATGTCCTACTATTCTGCACTTGATTGAACAAATTTTTCCAACTCTCAGAAAATCTTAAAAAGGGACGCCTAAAACCTCAGTTTATTGTCCAGTCTGAATGACAAGATGATTTGACTATTTGAGCCCCTCTGATTTGCATCACTGAAAAGCGGAAACCAGGTTGAAAAATTTGAAAGTATTATCTCAACCTCTGTTGAGACCTTCAGGTTAGCAAGTAAGTGTCTAACTCACTGAGCCACTGCTCCTAGTTGAAGTATTGATGATTGATTAATTTAATCAGAACCTGACCAATTGGTATAGAAAGAATAAAATGTCCAAGAATCAAACAACTATTAACACATAGCCTAATAGGAGTAATTTTCTTTATGGATATTTTGTGTTCCCTAATGTAAAGCATGAATTGTTATTAGTATAGGTTTTTGATGTGACATGATGAAAATAGTTGATCAACTCTGAGTAAATTTCTTTAATTATTAATCCATTCTGGTGTGTACCATTCCCTTAAGATATTGTCAAGCCATCAATTTAATCTTATCAGATCTTAACAACATGAAAAATAACTTTATTATTTTTTCTCCTACTACATCAATTCATGACTGTCTTGCTCTCTTCTCTACAATTCTATCTGTTTTTCTTTTCAAATTTATAATCAATTTTAACCTTACATTTTATAACTGACAGACAATAATTTAAACTTCAATTGATTCTAACATGATAAGGAGACCATATTATTTTCATTTGTTTTTTAAATAACATAGTATACAACATACATAAAGATATAAATTACATCAAATTCTATTGTAAGTTTCAACGCAAAAAAAATTCCAAGTGAATCAAGTTTGATTACAATCTAATCACGTTTTACAGAGTCTACACAGTTGGAAAAATTTTATTGATGAGTTTTCTGCATGGGCAGAGTTAGAACTTCTGCAATCATGTGACCCCATGTTTTTTCCTTCAGGTTACTTGATTAAACCCTTCTTATCAGTATAAAAATCTCATCAAAAAAAATTAATCTATTCCCACCAATGTAAGAAATATTATTTCATAATACTGTTTTGATGTAACTTACAGTTACGCAACCAGTTGGTCATTTCTTTTCCCAAATACAATATTGGAGGAAATTTTTGAAATTTGAAGACAGACTGTGGTTGGTAGGAATAAACAGAGAAACAAGGTTTTGGCCAAGGACTGGTATAAAGGATTCTAAGTGAATCTAAGTCCTGATGCTATGATTATTGAGGAACTAAAGGCGTAAGTCCAGTCTAAAACTATGATAACATGACTGAGCCGTTCAACAAAGCCGATTCCAACATAACCATGATAATAAGAATGATATTTGTAGAATGATTTTGTACCTAATCTTACTGAAATAAAATGATAAAGTAGAAGTAATTTCCTGCTTTAATCAAAGATGGTCATCTCCTAACATTTCTTATCAGTTCTTATTATCTCTTATGACATTTACTACCATAGAACTACTGACTGATTCACAGTTACGCTAAAAGTGGCTAGGACTTTTTCATTCCAAGTTTTTACTACACTACTGATATCTCTAGTATATCTCTCTTTTCTAGTATTAGGGATATTACTTAGTTATAGGTATTGATTATAATTCAAAAGTATATAATTTTCACCTTATATTTAAAAAATTTGACGTTATTGATCATATTAGTCAATAAAAATACTCATTTCAAATTTTCACATTATTTTGAAAATAATTATTTTTAAAATATCACATTAGTGGTAATAAAGCTAAAAATACATGACCTAATATAAAAATGATAAATTTTTTGGGTTGGAAATGTGTCTTCATATAAACTGTATTATGATATTTTGCTATGGTTATTTTTCATTTTAACAATGAAAATATAAGACAATTTTAAAACCAGAACCCCCCCAACTCTTATTTTAAATTTCATTAGTAAAGGGAGATAACTCTATTCAAGTAACACAATGAGATTTTGTTATTTTTAGGATCTAAATATATCATAATGCTTAATAAAATGTGTTCTCAATTCTGTCTTCATACATAAAATAATGTGACATCATACACAATCTTGAACAAGAGCTTTCTGGTTTAGAATTATATCCTACTGAGTTAAATGTTTTATGAACCTACCTTGTTCACCATCAGATATAACATCACTAACCCCTTTCAATACAATAGTTATATTACCCAACAATTCACTTAATGATTTTACATTTACTACTGGTTCATTTTCTATAGGTTTCTTACCAAACTGGAAACAAAAACAAAATTCCATTTTATACATGTATTTCTGCTCATTTTCTTAAGAAGGGGTAAAAACCAACATTGGACATCTTAAGAAGCGAATTGCCATAGTTTCAGAATTCATGCTTCCTTATCACTTAGCAATTATGAAATTTTTCAAGAACCACCAAGTAATAGTATATGACAACATCAAATTTCTAGCAGTCAAGCAGAATCAAAAAAGGGAATCATGTCAGTCTGCCAGAAGTCAAATTCAGAAATAGGATTGAAGGGAGGTAACAACAAAAAATAATTTCAGGCTACAGTAAAAAAATCCATAATTTAAACCGATCATATTATCCCTGCCATACCATTTTTGTTTAACTTACCATTTTTTCATAGAGATGTGAGAATTCCATTACATTTGGGGTCAATATAGCTCTTTTATAGCCTTTTATTAGGTCTGGTTTTTGAGTGATGAGAAACAAACCGTCCTACAAAACAAGGCGGGAATTGAAATGATAGGCCAATCTTTCACAATACATGGATAAGTCAAACACATAACAAAAATATTCCAAAACAGAACCTCATATTTTCTATAAGAGTGGTTGCACATATTCACAGGTAAATAAATTTTCCCCAATTTTTAGAAGCAAATTATGCATATGGATCATTTGCATTTATAAATGATTTTCATGATTGGATATATGGTGGTAGATAAAAGACACATGCCTTATGCAAAATCTTAATTTCTCATAATGTTCAAGTTTTCATGGCACAACATTTATTAAAAGATCAATGTCTTTATCTACAAATACCTACAGTGATCAAGGATATCAAAAAATTAAAATAAGTAAACATTAATTGATCAAAATGTACTCAATAGATATAAATGTAAATAATAAACTTACAGCATCAATAACAATAGGCAAACACATTGCTTTAGCCTTATGTATAACATTCTAAAATAAATATTATAAAAATATGAAATGACAGTGAATTTTACACCCTATTGTTCAACTCCTAATTGAACTCACAAAGATGAGAAAGTACATGCATGCATATTCTAGATTGTTCCAGAAGGGTAAGTATGCCCTGTCTTTCTATTGACATCTACCACAGTATTTATAAAGTTGAGCTAAAATTCTATGATATTGCACTTAGCTTCGATATAACATTTGAAAAATATTGTCTAAATTCTATCATCAGCAGCGAACAGGCGAATCAAGGGCCATGAATATCAATGGCATTCTTGAAAATTGTGCTATTGAAGTCATGATAATTGTAAAATATTACCTCAGCATAGCTTAATGTAGTTGGATTGCGACCCAAACCAGGTCCTATAACTACAGCATGCATTCTTTCTAACCAATTTGATGTTTCTTTTGTAGCATCCTTAACTGTGTCTGCTTTATCCAGTTTCCTAGTTAATAAGATAGGTATTGGTAATATTGAACCTCAATTTTGTATTTGCATTCAACCAATTAAGGCATTTTTCACTTCAACTTTCCCAGAGTAAAATTCTTTAAGAAATTAAGTAGAAATTTCCTCTTACAGCAAGTATGTTGTCCCTTAACTAAACATGCCTTAACACAATAGATATAATTTATCCAGGGCGCTTGTCAAACTATAAGTCCCAGTCCCACAAGAGATTTGCAGAAACAGAAATATACCATTAGTGTACTTACAGCACTGGATGCACTATCAATTCTGGACTGTATGATTTAATGACATTTGCTGCATCACTTGTACAAAAAACATGAGATAAATCACCACCCTACAAGAAACATTGCCAATACTTCAGTAAGGATAACACAGAGGGGTCTATTACAAATGACAGAAGGGATCTGTGATGTGGAAGTATGAAAAGTTTGTTGCCATAATTGAGGGATACAACGCAGACCACTGATAATAAGAAAATCTTTCATCATAATTTTTGTTCTGTACTTTGAGACACCAAGATAATGTTGAGCATGCTGGTGCACATCATAAGTGCCTCTTCCACAACGACTATAGACAATTTTAAAATAAGTTGCCATTCAAAGAGAGAAATAGAAGATTTTGAAGTCTAATATGCTTGTGGAGATGTACTATTGATTAAGAAATATTGAAAAAAATCATCTTACCACTTTCAAAGCTGATATCGCAGCAAAATATGGAGCACCTGTATACCTAAATATAATGAAAATAACCAGATAATTGGCCACAGCTTCAAAAAGATATTTTCAATTAAGGTCTTTGAATGGCATTTAGCAATTGTGAGTACGATATATAGACACAGCTTTATGGAACAACAATCACTGGTTAAAG